CTACCCTTAGGAGAAGTTGACTGTAGAGCCTAATGCCTGGCACTCCTTTTACAAGCAGCACTTCTCTAGGGCTCCAGAAAACATTGCTGTTTTTTCTATTTATACATACTTTCCTTGAGGACACAAGAAGATACAAGAAGTAACTCACTGATCTGCCTTTGGCAGACCATTCCTGGTCTTGGTGTGGTGCAAAGGACTAGCTTTGGGATGCTAGCCACAGTCCTGCACTAGGAAAGAGATAGCATCACTCCAGGAGAAGCAAGAAAGATGTATTGCCAGAGAAGATTTATCATGTCTCTCCCTCTGTATCCAGCCATAGGGCAGGTTCAGAGCAACAAGCGAAAGCCCATGTGGAATGGAGAAAGTTACAACCCTTTCATGCACAGTTTTCTTCCCTGCTCCATCTGAACTAGTGGTATTTTGTATCGGTATATCCTCCTCCAGACACCTCTCACAAATGGGACTGTACAAGTCCGATCCCAAACCAAAACAAAAGTTTGTGCTTCATCTTGTGAATACTCCTTGTTGTTTAGTCCAAAGAGGAATCAGTTTTGATGTAAATACTTTACTTGAAAAACCCAATGTTTCTTGGAGCCCTGGAAAGGCAGTGCAGAAGGACTGCCAGGGGGTAGGCTCCACAATTCCAAGATGCTTCAGGAACATGTGTTGTCATTACTCCAGAAACTCTGTGTGTGATCTGATATGCGATGGCACATCTGAAATGAGTTTTAGGATATACAATTATTTGAAAAAGGCCCTTTCTCTTTTCCTGACAGAGTTAGAGTTAGGACTGCCAAACTTTATAGACTCTGTTTCCTCTTACCTATGTATAATCAAAGCTGGCAGCTGTTAAGCAATCAAGGTATTTGTGGTGGGTAGACCCTCGTTGGTTGTGAGACTCTCACACAGCTGCTCCCTCACTCCCCCGCCTCAACAGGACAGGGAAAGAAAATAAGATGGAAAATCTCATGGGTCAAGATAAAGACAGGGAGATCATGGACCAGTTACTCTCAGTGGGCAAAACAGATGTGGCTGAGCAGGGGAGGGGGATGGAGAATGGGGGCTGTGGTCAGTCCATTACAGCTCCTCTCTGCTGCTCCTTCCTCCTCACGCTTTTCTCCTACTCCAGTATGAGTCCTTCCACGAGGTTCAGGATAAACCTGCTCATGTGTGAGCTCTCCACAGGCTGCAGTTCCCTCAGGAAACATCCCCCAGTGCCAGCATGGGATCCTTCACAGGCTGCAGGGGAAATATCTGCTCCAGCACCTCCTTCACTGACCTTGGTGCTCACAGGGCTGTTTCTCACACTTTTTTCCTCACTGCCTGTGTAGTGGTTTTTGCCCTTTCTTACCTTTTTTTTTTCCCCCAGAGGTGCCACCATCTATGCTGAGGGGCTCAGCTGTGCCCTGCTGTGGGTCTGTTGGAGGCAGCCCTGACGTCTCCCCACAGAGACACCCTGTATCTCACCACCCCCAACACCTTGACACCTAAATCAAATATTTCACAAAAAAAGACCTAACAAGAGTGGAACCAAAGACTGCTGGTGTACGTGTGAAAGCAAAACAATGGTTCATTGAGTCTTTTGGTAGAGTGACATACCTGACAGACTAAAATAATAAAATTGGAAGAAAATGGAAGAAGCCTGACCATGTCAGTTATAATACAAAACAACTAAACTATTAAAATACTGAGGAGTGAGATAAAATAAATATTAAGAAAATACTTGTATCAAATATAGAAGAAAGAGAATGAGGAAAAATAAAATCTCATATATTTAGTTCACAGACTACTGTGTCTGGTATCAACTTTGCTGCTGATGTATATGAAGCTCGTACTCAACAAAACTAAAAAATAGCTAGGAAACTAATAATAAAAAGATAACACTCCTAAAAGAAATGAGAAATTACTAATATCCTGAAAAGCAAAAATAAATTTTGTTATAGGGTAGTAAATCTCAGGATCCTCCAACTATCATTTATTGTAGATTCAAGAGAGAAGTGGAGGAGGTAGGAAAAGGTATTGTATTAGTGAAAGTTACCGCTTTTAGCTGAGGTCTTAGCATGGAAATCCGAGGCTACGTCCCTGCAAGAATATAAGATAAAAATAAAACTGGTAGTGAAAGACACTTTTCCGTTTACAGAGGAACTACTAGTTTGTGTGACGATGTAAATATAGTTTGCCTAAAGTTAGATGTAATGTAGGGTGGCTACAGCTCTACCCAAAGACAAATGGATACATTGTTTGGTAAGCAATGAGGTATGTAACTTGAAAAGAAGATGGTCATTGCACAGATTTATCTAAATTGTTCTTGACCTTTAAAATTGGTAGGTACAAAGAGCGGCGTAGGTGGGATCAACCTTTAGCTTAGAAAGACAGTATCCTCATCCATTTGCACCAATTTTGCCAGTATTCCCAGTCAAGTACCAATATTGGTATGGCCAAGCAACCCAGTCTGCATACTGGTTAGTTCAATGGGCTCGGTTAACCACCAAAACCAGTATGCCTTGTCAGCCTGTGTGTGTGCTCCTTCCACCATTTCGTCTGTTACCACCTTAGTCATGCCTGATGTTTGCTTGGCTCTGCTACCTCTTCTGTCATGTCAGTGGTTCTTATCTGGCTAAATAGTGAAATGCTGCCTCTTTTCTTCATGATCTTTCCTTTTATTCTTCTCCTTCCTCCTTTGCCTGTCATGGCATAGGCAGCATGTACCCCAAGTAGACCTAGTCCTTTCCATCAACGTATTCTGACCAGTTTAGATAGGTGAACCTATGTCAGAAACAAAGTCCAAAGCAGCCTAGAATGTCCCAAGCTGTCATATTCACTCCCTGAGGACAGATGTACAAGATGGGTGTGGGTCGAAGCACTGCTTGCAAATAGCCTCATCTCACCCCTCCGTTCTCCATCACTGCCTACCTGCCTTGCCTGCTCCAAGGTCTGGTGTTGTGGAAATGATTTTTTTTATTCCAGTACAGGTTACTCAGAAACAAAAGCTCAGCCAGAGGGCTCCCTCTGGGGAGTTGGCTTGAACAGGAATGACAGACAGATCTCCCGCTAACTGCATCTCTGCAAAAATTGTTGCATGCCATCTCTCAAGCCAAATGGGTAATTTCTGCTGTCACCATTAAAAACAGTCTGTACAGAATATTACTGTATAAACAGGCTGGCCACTGATTTACTGCTGATCTCACTTCTGTGCTATGATATGTTGCAAAATGCTCTTGCAGAAGCCATGGTTGCCAAGACCTCATGTAGAAAAGTAACATGCTCCAAGTATCTGTAGAAACATGATCTGCCAAAGACGAAGATGATGGCATGGGATCATCTCATGGAGAAGGTTCACTAAGGAAGGGACTTGCCACATTATTACTAGCTTTGTGTATGTGGCTAGCAGTAATGGTAAAATATATGTGAAGGGCTGGGGTATAGTCTTGGAAGGTTATCTAGCCTTTAGGTGACTTGAATTTTTCTATCTCTTTGGCCTGGAATAAACTTAGTTAGGAAGGTCTAAGGTTGTCTGGAGTAATTTTTCATTGTCTTTACTCAGAAGTAAAGATCAGACAAGGTCTTTGCCACCCCACTTTGGGCCAGCTTTGGTGCATGAGCACATATGACCAAATATAGCTGAAATATTTAAAACATTCTGCTGGAAAAAAAAATAGAGGCCAGACGAAACTGGGCATGCTTTCAAGAGTGTTGGAGCATTATGTTTGGGGAAGGTGGTGTCTATGAGGATATGGATTACTCCACAGTAATTTAATGTTTCAGTTGCCTGGGAATTTTTGCGTACCACTCTTAATCTTCATTTGGAGTCTGACCTGGTAGAACAAAAAGGCCAGTTTTGCTATACAACAGTATTTGAGCCAAAGGAGGAGGACCACTGTTAATTTAATTAGTCCTTTGAGCAGTTTGGCTGGAGAACCTTATTTTGGTTTGTTTCTTTAATTCTCTTGCAGATTGTTTTTCAGCTTGGAGCCTAGGTAGTTTTAGGTATAGCTTCCAGATAAATTCTTAGCTTTATGGGCCCTGCCCATCCCTGCTCTATTTCTTTTCCTGATGACCTTTGGTGAACCAAGACCAGCCACGCAAGTCTAGATCCTAAGCCGAACTCCAATGGGCATGTGCTCTGACACCAGAATCTAAATGGAAAAAAGGTCCTGTTCTGTGCAGGCGTTCAAATAGCCTGAAGCTTTGTGGACTGGTACTTGTCTTCTTGCTCTGCTTGACTTCCAGGTCATGAGGGTCTGGTAAAAAAATATGACAGCTGAAAAATCTTCATCTGTCCAGTTTCCTATGGTTTGCATTTGCTGTCAGGTGCTGGACATTGGTGACTTAAGCAGCAGTCCCTGTACTAAGTTGCATATTATGTTGTTGGTACGTTACAAAAAGAGGGGGGACAGCAAGAACAATATGTAATCTTTATAGAGGCTTATGAAGACTCATGGGATGAGTCTTGTGGCTGAGGAGCCTCACTGAACATGCATTGTGGGTGTAACTGCACAGTAATGCTAAAAAGCTACCTGATAGAGCAGTGTAGGTAGGATTACTGAAGTCCTGTCATTAATGAGATTGGAACTTGGTGATGCTTGTTATCAGTAATTGAAATGAATCCAATGAAGACTTTGCAAATCCTTGTAAGATTAGCCTTGAAATTGAGCAAGTAAGGAGGGAGGACAGAAAGAAAGGGTGTTGACAACAGAAAAGGCAAAAAAGCCTTCTAAATGAGAGGAAAAAAATTACTGTAATAGGAGGAATAGTGAGATTCTTAAAAATAGAAGAAATAGTTCTTCAACAAAGGAGACTGCCTATAGCAACAAAAAGGAAATAGAGGAGAACATGAAGAAATAACGATAACTTTCAGACAGTTATCTTCCCCTGTTGGGCTTTTTAAAATGACTTTCAAACCTCTGGAAGTACACATTAACACACCTAGAAATTAAGGTAAACATCTAGCTTTTCATGCAAGAAACATTCACAGATTTGAATTTATTTTTGTCTTGCAGATCCACAAAGACTCACCCTGGGCCAGTTGTACATTTAAGTGACAGCCCAAGAGATGAGGGAAAAGTGAGTACAAGTAATGCTATAAAACACTGCAACATTTCATAGACTTTATTTTCCTTGATAGCTCTTTCTTTTTGCTTACTCACTAGTTCTATCGTCTGCTTTCTTTATACATTTGCAAGGTCACTTTTACTATTTTCCAGTTTTTAAGAAATAAAAAGTTGTACAGTTTTAATGAGTAAAAATCTATGACACAGACAACGTACTGTCCTTTGAAACGTATAGCCAATCAAAGTCGTTCCTGATTAAGTAAACTTGAGTTTTGCTTAAGTAAGTCTTGACTAAAAACTGTATCATGACTACAGTACTGGATAAGCATGCCATTATGAAGGCGTTATAATAAGTTTTCATAAGATAATAAGTCTTATGCAATAATAATAATGATAGTAACCCACATTTGGAACTTGCTGCTGTTTGTGAATAGAGTTGAGAATAGCAAAGAGCTGTCAATAACTGGAAGCAAAATATATAGTCAGAGTGTTAGGGTCGTGTTTGATACCATCAGGAGGTAAAATCTGAGCTGGCTTTATTTGTATGGTAGCTTTTCCAGAATGACATTTTGTTGCCAGAATATCAGTTTTATTAGCACTTTTTTATTTATGTGTTGCTACTGAATTTTTGAGCATTTTGCCTGTGTGGAAGGGGCATTTAACTATCTCATAATTTTTGAATTTCTGATACTGATATGGGAGACATTATGCTGAAATTAATATTGCTACCTAGAAGAACACTGATGACTACATCGGAATTTCATTTGCATTATCCATCCTTGGACTTATCCATATGGCAAGGTGAACTATGTGCAAATGAGGCACCTGCCACCAAGTTCTCCAACAAGTTAGATTGGATCTCTAAGCCTTTTTGGAAGAAACACAGTAGGTCAAGCAACTTAGAATACAGCAAATAAAGTAATTGGACACTATGAAGCATAGTGTTTTAGCTTCAAACCAGAAGCCATCAAGAAATGCTATTTGATGATCTATGTCAAAATACCCGATAAAAATAAACGTTTATTGATGAGGCATAACTCTTGTTCACTGGCCACAACAGAAGCTGCTGATGACCTACCTAAAGCATGCCACGTAGGGAAAAAGGATACGTGAGTGAACATCTCTTACAGCAATGTCGTGCACCATGTCCAAACAGAAACCTAAAATATTTTTACTTCATCAGAAAGAGAGAAGATTAAAAGGCCTCAGGAAAGGGAGTTAGAAGAGAACTTGCATGGAAATACAGTTGCTTGTTGCTCAGAGAGCACATTGGAGACATCTGGGCACTGATGAAGTACTGGCATACTAACAACAACAGCAAAATCAGATGGAACCCTATGAAAAACAAACATGGGAAATTTATGGGGAGAAAGAGTACAAAACGTAAGCCATACTGAAACCATCCTAGTGCATCTGTTTGTATCATTGATAGATTTAGAGTGGTATACAACAAAAGAAGTGGTATACAACAAATTGGTGCTAACAAAATACTTGCAGATTTGCAGAATGTGAAATTGGTAGTGTTTGACGTACGCAGGAAGATATCAGTAAAAGGTACACACAGATGTAAGAGGAGATCCAAGCACGAAATCTGAAGACAGATCAAAAAATCCAAAAGTTGAGAAAAAAAATAAACAAAATTTTTCAACTAAGTCTCACAAAACTTTGGTTGAAAGAGTGCAGGATTAAAAAGTCTTTCTTCAGAATGGGGAAAAAATAATTAAAAAAAACAAACTCTGGGGACTTTTGGTGTTCAGCATAGTCATAAATGACCTAGAAAAGAAAGTAAGCTGTGATGTGATCAGGTTTGCTGGACTTTAGGAAGTAGAGAAACTCAGCAGTAAAATGGCAAGTCAAATACTGTCTTTTGTAATTATTCAGTGTAAATGATGGGAAGTGACATGTGTGGAGGAAAATATTTCTGACTTTACATATAAAACAATGGGTCTGAGCTGATCATTGCTGTTTGGTATCACGAGCTTCAAGTGGTGATTGACAATTCAATTAAAATATCAGCTCAATGCTCAGTAGTGAGCATTAAGAAAATAAAGAAAATAAAAATTAGGCATTATCTGGAGAACAGAGAACAAAACAGAGATATTGCATAAATGCATGGTTGACTTGCTTGCTCAATACTGGGTATAATTTTTGTCCTTCTATCTCAAAAAGAACATAATTGTGCTAAAAGAAATTCAGAGAAGGTGCAAGGTTTTCTGTATGACCCACAACTAATTCAGACAGGACAATTCATTATGAAAAAAGAGCTAATTGTGATTCCAAGTTTGAAAATCACAATTGTTATTTAGAGAGTAGAAACAATTCATAGTCTCTTTCAATACAAAGACTAAAAGGATATCAAATGAAGCTGATAAAAGTCAGGTTGCAAACAAGCCAGTTAAGTACTTCTTCAAATGTGCAATGGGTAGAAGCTATAAAACTTTTTCCAAAAGGTGCTCTGGGTGCTGAAAATGTATATTGGTCACAAAAGAGGCCAGAAATGTTAACACAAGAGAAGTCAATTCAAGGGTTACTGAAGAGGTTAGCTGAATTTTCCTAAAGTTTTATTAAAAATGAGGTTAAACAAAGTCATGTCTAGTTGAGGAGCTGACTATCTGAGAATAGGATGAGAGAGTTGGGGTTGTTCAGCCTGGAGAAGAGAAGGCTCCAGGGAGGCCTTATAGCAGCCTTCCAGTACCTGAAGGGGGCTACAGGAGAGATGGGGAGGCACTCTGTATCAGGGAGTGTAGTGAGAGGACAAGGGGTAACGGGTATAAGCTGAAAGAGGGCAGATTTAGACTAGACATTAGGAAGAAATTTTTCACTGTGAGGGTGGTGAGGCACTGGAACAGGTTGCCCAGAGAAGCTGTGGATGCCCCATCCCTGGAGGGGTTCAAGGCCAGGCTGGATGAGGCTTTGAGCAACCTGGGCTAGTGGGAAGTGTCCCTGCCCATGGCAGGGGGGTTGGAACTTGGTGATCTCTAAGGTCCTTTCCAACCCAAACCATTCTGTGATTCTGTGATTCTACGAATGAGGAAATTACTTAGGCTAAGAGAAAATGTGGGAGTGTGTTAAGTACTTGCCCTCCTTACATATTTACTCTTGGCCGTTTAAGTACAAGGTCCTGTGACAGGTAGACCTTTTGTTTAATTTAGTAGATTTGTTCATAGGTAATAGAAATGTTTCAAGATAGGTCTACACACTCTGCTCAGCTCCTCAGCTTCCAGTTAACCAAACACCAACAAGAGTTGTTGGTTGGAGAAATCAGACTCCTCACATCCCTTCACGGGGGGCAGCAGATTAAATTGTTCTCTACCTATGCTTGAGGAATTAAATAGTGGGTACAAATCAGTCATAATCATTGCTCAAAATACAGATATTCTCGTACTATCCAAGTACAAGGGTACTGTACTCTGCAAGGGTCCAGTGGTATATCCTTCTCTGGGATGTCACAAAGTTGTTTACAGATCTGGGCATGTTTTGCTGAAGTAAATAAACAGCATCATCGTGTGGGCACTGAGTGATTGAGAGTCCAAAAACACAAAGAAACCTTTCCAAACCTAGGACAATCATAAGATCTCTTTTTGAAAGCCAGGGACATTTGTGTGTTAACTGCATATTAATCTTTTTATATTCTTTAGAATAAAACTTTCGGTTTATATCCGTGACAGATGACCAGTTTTTCTGTGCCAGAAGAGTGAATGTAATTCCAGGAGACTTCTGCCATTCAAAATTTTTCCAGAGTGCTCTCCAGACAAACTGTTAAGGCAGACTTTGGAGACAGCCTCTTTTACGAATCCAGGAAGCTGTGGCTGGAAGACAGACACTAAAGAGAATTTGGGCATTTACTGTGTCACTTAAGAACGATTTGGAGACCTAGTGATTACATCTATGAAATATAACTGTGTCTGCCACATCAGTGAATAAGTGTACATTAGGAAAAGACCGAAAGGCACAGACATTTGTAAGTGGCAGATCTGTAGCAAACATGATTTTTCTTGCTGACACAGGAGAAGACATTAACTGCCATGATCTGCAGTTTCCCAGCAACTGGAGAAAGCTTAATAGGAAGAGGTTTAATGTTATTAACTACTAGCTGGTGAACTAAATTTCCTATCTCTGAGTCTGTGCTCTGAGATCTAATAACACCTAAACACAGTATGCATTTGGCAGGCTTGGGGTTTTTGGTTTTTTTTGTTTTTGTTTTTTTTTTGGTCCCAGCTGTTTTGTGCTACCAGGACAAGGAAGGGGCTGGCTGGCATGTACCACGATGCAATTGGTTGATTGTGAAGGAAAAATCTCCCCTAAAACACCATCATCAAGAACATTTTATGTGGAAGGATTTGTTAAGTTAAAATGTGGAGCAACTGCACTAGACAAAGATCTTGCCAGGACTCCACCCTCCTTCAAATTCTGTCCAGCCTTCTGCATGATTCTTAACCTAATTAAGAATGAGGAATTAAACAAGCTGCCAATAAACACAACGTGAAGAGAAATATTTTGGTTTTTCCTTCCTGAACTCTTTTTACACATATTTGTCTTCATCTATGTTTTCTCCTCCAACTGCATTGATGGATGTTTTATTTTTTGCCTCATTGAATATTACAGACATAGGGTTTGTCTTACAGATCTCTCATTCTTACCATGGCCAAGAGGAGTGTGAATATTTGAGTTTCCTATGGTTCAGACAGGTCAGACTTCAGAGCATCATAAATATACTGGCAATGAGACTAATCAGATTCAACCAGTTGGAATTCTGACTTTAGTGTCATATCACAGTGCTAGTGGTTTAGTAGCATGGCTACCATCTGAGCAAAGAGAGAGAGAGATTCCTGGCTATGCGGCAAATCTGTTTATCTTTCAACTTCTTCCCTGAAATCACAGCACTTTGTATCTTGCAATTCTGTAGTGCTGTTTGTGCGTTATGCGTTTCAGCAATAGATCAGGTAAAACGCTTTCTCTGATAGGAGGTGTTTAACCTTGTAGTAATTACCTGGAGCATGATATCTTTGCAAAAGAGAGCCATAAAAATCAAAAGACAAGCCTGCTTCACCAGGGTGAAAGGCTTATTATGAAACAGGATCACATACTAAATGCTTTTCTATTCCTTCAGTTTCCTAAATGTATTTGTACAAAAGCTGAGGTGGAAAGAACGCTGGTAGATATGAACTGAACTCAACAGGTTTGGTATCCAGCTGTAATGCACTGATGTGAGTGCTTGTGATGATGACAGTAAGGAAGGCACTCAGACTCCATAACCTATCGATTAAGATACCATTTATTGGAGTTAATACAAAAAGGAAAAAGAAGATAATCTTACATTCATTCACATAGTGGGAACCCCAAGTTGTGCAGCATTGGATGGATCTCCAATAAGGGCACAGCACACTATGCTGGTCCCCTCTGCGAAGAGGTTTGCCAACATTTTGGTCTTTAGAGAACTCAAAAGATTTATTTTAAAAAAAGTCTATTCATTTCTACTGTCAAGCAAAAGCACGTTCACATGAGAACATACTGCATTGCGTTAAGATAAAGACAAGGTCACAAAGGTGCTGTAATTGCCCTTACAGGTGGGAGCTGCCTACAGGCTGCTGCTTTACAATCAGCCAGCTAAGTTTATCTTGTGGCCAAGGAATATGTGCAGCACAACACAAGCCTGAAAGCAAAGTGCTATGTGCAGCACTACCTAGCACAGGCCTGCACCCACTCAGGGTAACTGCTGTGTGCATCACTAATTCCTGAATATACAATTGTTTTACATTTAGGGTCACCACACCAACAGCAAAAGCAGTCGTAGGAAGACTCTTTGTTCACTGTCTCAATGGCAGTGTATTATCTCACAATACCACATGGCATCTTGACACAAGTGCTATCCAGTTAGCTGCATGCTTTCTGGACAGGATGTCTTCTCACATTTACTCTGCCACAGAATCCCACAGACTTGTCCAGAGCAAAAATGATAAATATTCTGGAATTTCTCCAGGACAGTTTGGATTTTTTTTCAGGAACAGAACACTTAACCAAACAAGTATTTTTCATATTCAGGTATTAGGTATCTTAACTGTAAATCATCCCCAGATTAGACAATACATCTCCACATAATGAATATTCTCCTAGCAATAAAGAATCATGTGTAGTAGGACTGAGAGTATTCCCAGACTCTTTTATAGCAGTATTGATGTATCAATTAAGTTTAACTTGGAAACAAAGTGATGTTTTGTTTAGCAGTCCAGCCAAGTTTCATTTTTATGACTTAGGCAAGATAAAGATAGCAAAGATGCTGGTAAGGTCTCACAGTCTAAGAGATAGTCTCATCATTCTTCTGCTCAAATTCTTAATATAGAAACTGTAAATTCTTGCCTGCATGCTCTGGTCCATATGTTTATGGACAAAGAACAACTGCAGTTACCACTGCCAGTTGTATGAAATATTCCATAGCAGAAATGTGTGAGTCTTCCAGTTTGGTCATTCCTGGTCTTCATGTCCAGGACAGATTCCTAGCAAGATGGGCTCTATGGGAAGCAATTTCCAGGACACCTAAGTAGGCCAGACTTCACATCTTCCATAAGATCTGAAATTAATTGTGTTCAAAGGAAGAGTACTGAGTACAGTGCCAGCTCAATTATTCAGTTCTTTTCAATAGAGACAAGGAGAAAGGACTGTGTTCATTCTCATTTTTCTCCTGAGCATCATTTTTCTTCTCTTTCATCTTTTGACAAATCTTCTTTGCTGGTATTTCTCAGGTGTGCATGATGATATGACATACTAGTTCTAGAAGAAGTAAAAGCTGGCATGCCAGTTAAATTTTTTTCAATTTCTAGGAAAGCAAGCAATTCATTCTCTGCAAGGTGAGTTCTTCAAAATGTTTTAAGCCAGTAGAAAGCAGAAATTCAAGGAATATATGTCGCTGAATGAGAGTTTAATCCAGTGACTCTGGTTTTAAGTTATTTAAGTGATCTCTTACATGTCAAACAGTTTTCCCTCCAACCAGGGGCAAGGAAATTAAGAGCTGAGAGGAACATACCACAGTTGTGATTTCTCATCAGATATACAATTGTGAAGACTGTCCAGGTGCATAATCTCACAAAAAACCCCAACCAAACAAACAAAGGGGTATAAAGTATATTTTTTCTTCCATATTAGAACTTAAATTGTCGGTAATGAGAAGTAGTTTATGCTGAAAGATAATTTGAAAGCAGGGTATTATGTGTAGTGCAAACTACAATCTTACCTATCAGTTTGGCATTTCTTTTTACAGTGCTTATTTATTTTTTTAAAAATCTCTTAAAACCATTAAGTTCTGCAATAGTTGTATATACCTTTTGAATCTGAAAGTATAATTGTGTTTGTTTCCCTTCTCCAGCTATTGATAGGCTATGAAAATGGGACTGTAGTACTCTGGGACTTACGATCTAAAAGAGCTGATTTGAGAGCTTATTATGATGAGGTAAGCAGTTTCCTTTAATTCAGAAAAACTGTATTCAGCAGTTTGTTGTATGTCTTATCAAGCAGACAGATATTTTATATTAAGGCATTGCTTGTTCTGGAAATACTGTTTGTGCTATGCTTTTGAACAAGTTATTGACAATAGAAATCAAAACCTGAAAACTCTAGTTCTAATGCATTAGGTTCTTGTGAGTGTACTACAACACAGAACCTCTTCCCCTTGATTTTCGCAAGTCCATCAGCTTCTGTGTAAGGATCCTCAGTTGAACAGAGTGTAGTAGTGAGATGACCTGAGATCTAGCTACATTAGGAATTATGTGATTATCTTTACTGACTATTACTAGAGCATTGATTATAATGCAAGAGAAACTATTTTGTAGGACTATTGGTATTACCTAGTACTCAAGATCTGATTAAAAGGTTTTCAAAACTGTATTCTCGTAGTTTTATCAGGAAGCTGTCTTTTGCCATTTATAAACACAGATGCGGTTCTTGTATCAATAAACAGGTTGTTTCAAAAATAGTTATATTCCTAGTAATTATGGTTTTAGGACTAGCCTTAGGGAAAAACATACATGTTCTGCAAGCCCTTCTGTAAAATTCTCTGTGGATGAATGTGAATGCAGCTACAACTGAAGGTAGAAAAGGACATTTTCTTTAATATGATCAAGGTTTCCTATAGTTCTCTTTCCTTCTTTTCTTGCCACCTTATTACATGTAAGGAGTACATGTTTATTTTCACTCTAAAATTAATCTGAATATATCTGAATCCTGCACTCTTTCAGGCCTGTTTTCACAGACACACTACACTGACCTTCAAGGATAAGATTCTGAGCATCCAGACTAATTCCAAGTTTAACCAGGCCAGCAGCTGAGTCTCAAGACATGCCCCCGAAATAGTCTGTAAAGTGACAGTCTGCCTGTGCATACACTTGTGTAGTTGCACCCGTTCTATTACTTCAGGCTGGCCAACTTTTTCCTTTTACAGCTATCCTGGAGGGAGTGTGTTCACTCGCTGTCCTCTCTTGTGCTCAGAATGAGACTACATGAAACAAGATCTTCATGACACTGTTTCCATTATTTTTATTTGCTTGGTGAGACAGTGGTTGGGTGTTGAAAATTTCTTACACAATTTAGTTGTTCCACATTTTTCAGTACTGTCCTCAGGATCTTTTTTTGACCTTTTTCTGAGTTGTGCTTTCCTCCTCAGTGGTTACTTGCTGTGTCATTATTCTACTTTATGCAATTTGTGATGTCTTCCTATCGTCTACTGACATAGTTGCAAGATTCTTCTTTTGTCTTATAAGGCTTGTGTGACTAGCCATTTATTCCAGACATTCAGGCTCCAGATTGATAATATTCCAGATCTGCTGGGAATCCCCTAGGAAGCCCCTAAAAAGGGTTCTTTTTTAAATCCTGGGTTATATAGCTTTTGTGAGTCACAAATTATTAGTTCAACATGTGCCACTTGGTATATGGCACCAATCCAAGTTTTAAAACCTAAGCCTCTTCATGCAGATTGGTCACGGAAGATCACAGTCCAGAAAACATTGTTCCTGCTCCCCTTCACCTTTCCACGTGCGCTGATGCAAGGCCTCCGTGCCCCGTGACATCTGACCAATCTTTTGGTATCATTGTTCTGGCACTGAGCTAGCCAGTTGCAATTTCAAGGTACCTGTGAGGTCTCGGTTAAATTGCTTTAAATGGTCTCTATCTTTGTTGAACACCAAAGTGCCTCTTTGAATGGTGTCTGAATGAGATTAATCCAGCCTAATTTTTCTTTTCCTATGCTTGCTTTAGCACCAGTTTTGAAACTAATGTAGTCACCTTATTTGATGGTGAAAGAACTGCAAATTTCATGTAACTCACCACTTCCTCTCTGGGCATCTGCAACGACTGTCGGATGGCATGATCTTTTCTGGCTTATCAGTGGAGCAGATGCTTCTGTTTAGTATCAGAAATTGCCCTTATTCAAAGGTGTCTTCCATTTTATTTTTTTTCACTGTGTTGAGTGCTGTTTTTTAATTGAGATCTTAAAAGCAGTTGACACAGAGCTCAAATGGAATAGGTCCTCTGTATTTGCACACTTGAGCAGTTGCCTAACAAAGGGATCATTAAGAGATAACGGTTCTCAGTCCACTTGGACATCACCACTGTGAAGCTTGCCTATCCTTTCTAGGCTGAGTGGTGTTGTCATACCAGTGAAATGCTTCACATCACATGAGACTTGCAGACATGGATATGAGATGTATGTTGCAAACATCTCTTCAGAATATCGGTAATCTTATGACAGGGAGGTGTATTGTTTGCTATAATGTTGGCAGGATCTGTCCAGTACTTGCAGAAGTATGCCCTTTCATTTTCCTTGCCATCCAGATAAATGTCATGGACACATTGCTCCTAGAATAAACAGTTCACTGAGAAAACCCAATATCTTATATAAATGGTGAAGCTGAAGACTCTGCCCTCTATTCACAGACCTGCAATTTACAATTTACATTTACAGCTGCATTCCTTACTCCACCTTCATCATGCTATACTTCATGTCTTGAAGGCTGGGACGTTTCATAGATAAAACACATCTGCTCATTTCAAATGAGAGGCATTCTCACCAGGGATAGAAAAGGCCATGCAAGCTGCGTTATCTGGAACCTCTCTGCTTGATGTTCTTGTAAACCTATGTCTTCCCTTTAAAGCTTCTCCCTGATAGTCACAGTTTACTCACTGAAGGTAAAAGTAGTCCTGTCTCTTTAGTCCTGCTGATGACCAGTTAGAGGCTGCCTCGGTTCATCAACTCCTGATTCAAGGAGTTCCCATGTTTTCTTCTCTACTGTGTCAAAGTTTCTCAAGAGACTGAATTGTTCTCCCTCATGGAACACCTGCTGCAAGAGTGGAGCTTGAACCTGCTGCTGAAGAGTCTCGTGTCTGCTCTTCAAGATGTCAGCTGCAAATTTGTTTCTTTGTGTGATTACGATTGGCATCTTCTCAGTGGCAATATGTATGAGATATTCAGGCCCTTTCAATCAATGCTCCTATAGGATGCTGTCTGTAAAAGGCTTTCCTTGCAAGCCTTTTTATAAATGCCTTCAAAAGTTTATTTCCCTCAATTAGTATAAAAAGAGAGCACATAAGCAAGACAGATCTTTCAAAGGATTCTCAAGTTATTGTTGATAGTTGGGAGACCCAAAAAACCAGCAGTCTTCGTATACAGGCTGTTTAAAAGTTTGTCAGGTTGTGTCAACACACATTCAGAGCTTCCTGAAGCATAGTCATCATCTTTCATTAGAAATTCGTCATCATTCAAAAAGAAGCTGCTGAGTTCACAGAGACATTTCCCTGATGACATCTCCCTACCTTTATCCAGCACTATGCCTTTACGGAAATATCAAAGCAGATGTGGCCCTTGCTGTAAGGGTCCTGTGGTACTACTAACACAAAGGATTCTTGAGATTCAAGCAGTAGGATGAGTATGGTGCTTGTTCAAAATATGGTCCTAGGAGCTGGAATGGTGTTGGGCATGCTTAGTTTGAGTACATGCTGACTATGGGAGAAGATGGAATATGTGCGCAGCCGCTGTGGGTATTGCAGAAGGAGAAACATACCAAATCTGGAGTGATATGCTTTATGTGCATACACTATGTGAACATTCACACGAGTCACCCACCATGATGAATTCTTGTTCTATGCAAATAACTGCTCTTTTTTTGTATGGATGCTAAAGAAGTTGATCAGAATGCTAGACATATTCTAGCAGGGAGAAAATTAGGGACATATTCAGTAGGACCTTTGAGTATTCACCGTGACTCCCACCTGAGACCTCTGAAAGCAATTCCAAGTATTTCTTGTCTGTTTTGGGGCAAAGTCTAACAGGTGAGTTTGAGTTGCTGCTATGCCAGCTGTCTGTGACAGGAGCATTCCTCCTCAGCTCCACTTAACAGGAGGTTTATGCTGGCAGGTGGCACCTAGCAGCTGAGAGGCAGTTTAACAAGCAGCTTGCCACAGTCTTCAGCTGCTAGTTACTAGCTCTTGCTCAGACACAGTTACCGACTGTAACCATGTGAAATGTTTCTATATGTGATAACACATCTCAAGCAGATTCAAATTTGGCATGAATGAGCTCATGTCAGAATTAATTTGCACGAGGATAGGCATGCCTGCAGTGAAAGTGAAGCAGTGCTCGCCCCAGATCTAAGGTTCTTACTACCTGAGGGCAATGGGCTCTGTATGAACCATCTTTCTGTGTTGTCTTTTGTTGCTTCAGTTATAGTTTGATATCTTCTGGGTCTTTAAGAGGAATTGCATGACACTCCTCTCTGGTAGGTAGAAGTTTGAGTGATACCCATTATGTGACTCAAAGATAAATGGCTGGAGTTCACTTTGTTCAGCTCTGTTTGTTGAGTCTTTATTGGCATGACCAGCTTACTGGTGTATTAGCAAAGTATTCGTATACAAGGCATGTCAGATTCCTGATAAAACATCTGGGTAATCTTCATGCAAATGCTCATTTGTGGATATGCTGTCCAGCCTCAGGAGCTAAGTTTAGGGAGAGGGCCACAGCCTTTTTGTTGGTTTCTTCTGGTACTCCTTCCACACCATGAGCCGTTACCAACCATAACACTCAATATGCTTATTGAAAGAGGAAGACCAACAAGGAGTTCTGAATAGTGACAGTAGCTTAGGTTTATTTCTTGTCAGCTTAAGCAAAACTGACATGAACAATCTCCAATGCTGACTTATGAATATCCAGGCATGATTTTAAAGTAATTTGAATAAATCAGGCAAAGGGCCATATGCAATTTTAAGTGCATGCAAGGCCTTAACACTTCATGGGTCGCAAAAATCTAAATTTATTAAACTGCATTAAAAAATAGGTCTCCCTTATTTACATTTACATAAAAGCATATTGTGTTTTTTGCTACTTGGCAGCTAACATTTCTGGAAGGGAAATGGACTCAAGGGAAAATTCTGCGAGTTTGTACTTCTGAGGGGAGTGTGTGAGAAAGCGTGGTAAACAACGAAGCAACACTTTGTTTTGTCAGAAAATGGCTTTTGTTAGTTTCCAGCACATTCCAGTGGAAATTATCCTTTCAGCTAGTTTGATGTAATTATGGATATTTTCAGTCAGTTCCATTAATTATGCACCAAATACTACGAATGGTCCGTTAATTTTTGAAGTGTTGCTTTTTGACATATACAACATTCATCACGTGGTACGTGCATTGTGTGCATAGGAGTGCGATATTCCTCTTCGCTGAATCGCTATCCGTTCCAAAAGTGTCTTACATCATTGTTTTGTTAATTTCCTGTATCAATTAAACAATCCTTGTATCTTCAGTGGTTTTGGTTTTATATTAAACATCACAGATGCCTATGTACTTCCTCTGAAAATTATATGTGGGGGGGAAAAAATTATTCAAGAACAGAATACTGTTTCTACTTTTCCTAAGCAGTCCTCTGGAGAAGGCTGAATGTGTTGTATGTTACCTGTAAAACTTGTTACACAGAGTTCCCTGTATGTCTGCCAGATGAAATACTTCTAAGGAGAGCTATCAGACGTATTATGATTGCACTGTATGTCCCTTGGTCTTATATCTTACCTTTTACCCTTTTACTTTAGTACACTTTTCCTTACATTCTGGTCTGATTCAGTACAAGCTTTCGTACATTCTTGTGTTCTGTTAGCATTTATAATGAATTGTTTTGCTTGACCAACAGTCTGTGGCAGACATTGGTTACTAAAAAGTGCTGATAAGGGACTTACACAAACAAGAACCATCCAACTGTTGCTATACCATTAGATTAATACAATCCAAAGTTATAAAATAAAATATCATTAGTGTAAACATTGTATTCCATTTCAGTCTCAAGTTCTTCTTTCATTTTTGTAGGCTATTCATTCTGTTGCTTGGCATCATGAAGGGAAACAGTTCATGTGCAGTCACTCTGATGGCAGCTTGACCCTATGGAATCTGAAAAGTCCTAACAGACCATTCCAGACGACAATTCCACATGGTAATTTTGGTAGTTAAAATGTATAACTAAGAAGCAATACAATATTCTCCATGCTGTTTGCTAATATCTATGTTTATTTCATTTTTTATTGTAGCCCAGATCCAGAGTTGCTTCTTGAATAACTATTTTAATCTGCAAAGTAGCTGCAAAATATTATAAAAATCAGAGAGTGATTTTATCAAAAATTTTTTTAATTTATGTCATAAATACCTCTTACTGGGTAATACTGCTCTAATGCCACCTTTTATCCAATTCATCTTAACAGTCTACTGCAGATCTTTGATGCCCTCAGGCTATGGGATTTTCAGATTTGTTTCTTTTATATTTTGTACTTACGTGCTCGTATGTGCAGTTTTCACAAGAAGCAATACATCTTGTACAAGGCACTGCATTGCTTTTTATAGAGATGGTACAAGGCTTTCCAAGTCATTGCAATGAAGAATTTAAAGGAGCCATATTTAGAAATGGCTCTGTCTTTTATGGCTGGGACTTTATAAGCCATTACTTCCTATAAACAAGGTAAAAAGGTATTAACTGTATTGCAAATCAATACATTACTAACTGGGTGAAGAGGGAGGAAGAAAGGGAAAGCAAGATCTATGTAGCCCAGAAAAGTTTTAGCATTTCCTTAAATTTCCTAATTCCTTGTATTTTAGCATTTTTAGTCATAGAATTGTACTTTATGTCAGAAGGGACCTCTCAGAGGTCATCTGGTCTAAGCCCCAGCTCAAAACAGGCCTGATTAGATCAGTTAGCTCAGGACAGCCTCCAGTCCACACTGGACACTTGAACACTTCCAGTGACAAATTGCACAACCTCTTTGGGCAACATCTTCCGGTATTTAATGACCCTCATCCTGTGGATTTTTTTGCTAATATCTAACCAGAATTTGCCATGCCACAACTTGAGTCTTTTGCCTCCTGTCATGTCACTGTGCACCTCTGAGAACAGTCCAGCTTCATCTACAATATATCCTCTAATCAGGTTGTTGTTGAAAGCATAGACTTTCCAAAGTTAAAAAAAAAAAAATCAAAAATGTTGGGTTTTTTTGGTTTACTAGTGACTTTTCTCTGACTGGAAGAAAGTGCTGAGCCATAATTAACCAAGAACCCATGAATTTCATTTGTACGCTTAATTTAATTTTATCACTCAACTGGTTACACTCCAGAGCGTGTAACATTTTGTCAACAAAAGGAATTGAAACAATCCAAGAATGATTCAGGAAAAGAATAAGCTGTTTATGGTCATAATGTGTTCAGAAAAAAGGTATACATTTGGTCAAATTTATTAATTATTAGTGAAGTGTCAGCCTTCTCAGTAATCTGCGTGGTTTTTAGACATCTTTGAAGTGTGGTCTATCGTCCTTTAGATGTATGTGGCAGCAAAAACATAAGCCGTGATAAATGTAATTAATTTAGACAAATGCATATTTTACGGAAATCGGAGCTAATATGCATCATCTTCGGTAGCTTTAAAATTCCATTCTCTTATTGCTTATACAGTTGCTTCAATGTGTATGTTTTAGTTTGATAGTTCTCTTATCAAGATGTTTTGGTACAGTTTTCATCTTCTTTCTTTCCTTAGGAAAAATTCAGAGAGATGGAAAAAAACCTGAATCTTGTAAACCTATTCTTAAAGTAGAGTACAAGACCTGTAAAAACAGGTATGTTTTTAATCTTACATTTCTGTGTTAAAGTCCTTTTAGAATCTTTCCCTCTTTTTTTTGTAAAGCTACTTATTATTGTTTAAAGGTACTAAACCTATAATGTAAATTTGTATGTGCTATGTACACTTATAATTACTATGTTGTTTTTTTTAAATGCAGTGAACCATTTGTGATATTTTCTGGTGGATTGTCATATGATAAGGCTTGTCGAAGACCAAGTTTAACAATCATGCATGGGAAAGCAATTACAGTTCTTGAAATGGATCACCCTATAGTTGATTTTTTAACTCTTTGTGAAACCCCATATCCAAATGGTGAGTTTATTAAGCAAAACACAGTTATGGAAAATAGAAACAGAGAGATCTTCTCTCATACCTTACTTCCATTCCAGGGACTTCCATTCTCACTGTTGTCTCCATCTTAAGCAAACCACATCACTGAAAGGAACTCAAACTTGTTTGCAGTCTCAATATAGGAAGCAAGTAATGAGTGGACAATACAGCATGCATAAATCTCCATATATAATCTTGAAGCGCATTGGCTAGTGTGAGGAAATATTGCTATTAGTCAAACATATGTCCATATATTTCTATCATTTTTATGAGGCTGAAAATCTACAGATTGATAAATTATTGAAGATTAATCTGTCACTTATCTGCAAAAATGTTCTTACACTTCAGCCTGAATTAAACTGTTGAAAGTGTTTTGCTGCATATTGTAGGGCTGCCAAATTCTGAAGTACATTCACAGAAAACTCCAGAAAGTAAATTAAGAAAATCTCTTAAGTCAAAAATAAACTCAGTTCAGTGTTTTAAGCCCTCAAGCAGAAAAGTAAAATAAATCTTACACACATAGCTAAATCAAATATGAATTAAAAACACTTTGTAAAGATAAAGTGTACATTTGTTTCAATGTCGTGCAAAAATTTAATTTTCAGTAGTCAAAATTAGTTTGGGCCTTCATTTAACTATGGCAAACACAGTGACACTTCCCAGTACTGAGATTTTGTAGCTCCTTACCCTGCTCACACACTAATATTTAAAAATTTTTATTTAACCTGTGTTATTCATAGCTTTGTATAAAAACAGGCCATAAATAATGTGCTCTCATAGCTGGCCTGAAAGGAAGGTAAATCAGTTGCTGTCAATTTACTCAGCCTTTTGACATCAGCCAGCTGAAGAGTACCCTCTGAGCTTGTACATACTGGAATGGTTTTCTGCTGTTGAAAAAAGAGTCGTATTTTCACATTTATATTTTTTGAAATAACTTTTATTCTATGTAAACTAGTGCACCCTATGCATCAAGGGAAGCATTTATTTGTCATTTTAATTGTTTCTTTTTGATAAACAAAAAAAGCATTACATGAAAAACCAAACTATATAGTCTCCTAAAGAGTGTATGGGAGAAAGGACCGTAGTATCTGAATTGAACACAACAGACTTACAGTATTTCTTTGGAATATTCCTTTGGAACCACTTTGGAAATGAGGGCATTGTGTATCGTCAAGTGGCCTGGACCAGCTGTTCACAATTTGTTTTTGAAGAATACTTGTACACAGTAGAATTATTACTACTGGAGAGCAAAAAAATACATTTCCTGTGTAATAGCTGGATTCAGCAATGCAGTAATACGTACAATTTATTCATATTCTGTTTCTTTACTTTCAATACACCATAATTCTGGCCTGCTATAGTATGCCAATTCTATTTCTGCTATGTGTGTTTGTCAGCAATACTGCCCAAAAGTCATTCCTCAGTTCCTGTCTGGCCCTAGTTCACAGATATGTCTAGTTTGTGGATATCTCTAGGATTTGTACCTGAAAACTTTTGTTTAGTATCCGGTGGATGTTTTGGAGAACGTAAATATGACTTACTTGTTTAAAATTACTAATAGGAGAACTCCATGTCTTTTATACTTGATTCCTTGCTTACAGAATTTCAAGAACCCTATGCTGTAGTTGTGCTTTTGGAAAAAGATCTCATTGTTGTTGACCTGACACAAAGCAAGTAAGTATGAAATCTTATATGAAGTTATTTATATATCTTAACTGTCCAGCAAAGATGATAAAAATACTAATGTTATCATGCAATGTCGTTTTTCTGTCCAAAATCATTCACTCATGGTAATAATTGACTCTATGTGTTTACCTCTACTTTAAGAGCTAAGATCTGCTAATCAACAGAAACTTATGACAATCTTTTTTCTTAAGCTCAGGAATAAATCTAAATCTGTGATCCCTTCAGCATAGCCCTCAAACATTCTCTCAACAATGAAGTTAAGTAATACTTGGTCACATGCTGAATTATGACCTGAATGTATGCTTTGGAAACCAGATTCAGCTATATGTGCATGCCTAACTTCACTAGACTCCACAGGGACTACCACTTAAGTATTTACTCAAGTATCTTAATAAATAATGGCATTGTTTTATAGTAGATTATGGGATTATTTCATTATTCGTTGCTGGTTTAAATGGCAGATAGTTCTTTCACCTCAGAATCAATGTTCGTATCAAAGAGTAATGCAGAATCCAATTCTTATTTATTTTGTTCTGCCTCCAACAGTAGCAGTAATGTACATCCACATCCATGTATGACTAGGAGCAGATTTTGCCCTTAATGTCTTGAAACATTTTAAGTAAATCATATTGTGATCTCACTTACTTTCAAGAATAATTCAAAACATCTCAGCAACATAAAATGAACTGAAATTAGAACCAAATTTCCTATATTTTTGAATTGTGAATAATATTGTGTAATCTGCCAGAACTGAGGCCTTCCTTCTTATCATACCATCCAAACCGATGGAAGTGAGAAATAAACTGAGACCTACTTCATCTGTTATTGCAATTGTTCATTGGAGAATCAGTAATCTACCAACCCAATAAGCTAACCTGTTCAATATAAAATCCACAGCTGTAAAAGTAGTTCTTAGGTCATAATATATCTCATATCCATGAACCTGAAGCTTCTGGGGAAAGTGTAACCTCTGCATAAGTAAGATTCGGAGATATTGGGAAAACTAGTTCCTAATCCTCATTCACAGAAGTAGTCCTATTAGCCTTAGGAACTATTCACATGAATGAGTATTTACCTTGCAAGAGCATTCTTGTCACAGCAGTGGGATGATTTTTTTATCTTTATTTGAGTAACTACACATTGTTATTGACATTAAAAACAACACAAATGTTTGAATAAATAAGGAAAAATATACTTTATTAATAATGATTTTACTCAGGTTCTGTTATACACTTTAATATAAGAATATGTTCTTCTATGGCTCAGTGTGTTACAGCGCTTCTAATAAATTGTCTTCCTTAACTAGTTTTCCAATCTTTGAAAATCCATATCCTATTGACATTCATGAGTCACCTGTTACCTGCACAGAATATTTTGCGGACTGTCCTCCAGATTTGATTCCTGTACTCTATTCTGTAGGAGCAAAACATAAAAAACAAGGATACAGCAATAAGGTAAATAAAACCAATATTTTTTTTAAAAAAAGAAAGTAGATGTAAAACCTATGTTTTTGTAACATCTTACCAAATTATTTTCATTTTACTTCTTTAATAATCACTTTCAAGTTGGCCCAACCAGCATCTTAGCAGCGTGCCTTCAACCTGGTATTTGTCCCTCAAACACCATCACTTCAGCACAACCATTAATGACCATTATACAAGACTTAATCATTAGGCTGCTGGAGTTACGCCAAATCAGACTGAGTTAAAGGAAAGCCGTCAGTGTACAACTCAAATTTATACAGACATGTTATATCTAACAAAGAAAACATTACAACTGAAATAAGTTAGCAGAAGAGCTTCAGTGAAAGTTGAGAGTTGACAGCATGTCTGTGAAATTTTTATTAAATAGCGATATCAATAATTATTTTACGTAGCTACCAAAGTCTTAACATAATGGTTTTAGAAATAGGACAAGCTGCAGAAATAAAAAGAGGAAATGCAATTATTTTATAAATTTCAAACATTAATCAGTTTATGTTTTGACTAGAACTAATTTATCATAAGAAATAAATAGAAAAGACATTGAGTAAACAAATCCGGCATCATCAGTTTTCTGTTCATATTAACAGAATTTTTCTGCTTGGAAATGCCTTGTTTTCCATGAGCTGAGCCCTATCTACTTCTTTTGGATCTCGATTCAGCAAAGTACTTCAGAAAAGTACTTTCAGAATTCATCTACTTATCTGTCTTTACCTCACATACATAGTTTCCAAACTTTTCACCACCTACCTGTATTCATTGCACACTCTCTTGTCCACTTGCTTTATTTGTGTGCATACAAATAAATACACACTCTGAATCTAGATAGCCATTCATTTGCCACCCACTGCCTGTATCCACATAACCAGTTTGTGCTCCCAGTTTTTTTCCATACACACATGCTCTACACACATCCTCATCCAGTCTGCACGTGTCATCTTCCACATCCTGTGTGCTGTATGCATACATCTCAAGCTCTAGGCACAGACCAGCATTTCGCTCTACCAGCGTAGACCAAGGAAGAGAATGGGAGTCTTGCCAATAGTAAAAAAAAGGCAGAGAAGAGATGATGATTTCTTATGTTCTGTAAAAGTTGCATTCACTTTTCTCATATCTTGTGGCATCATGCTCAGATACTTGTTTCTGGGCCAGCATCTTCAGTAGTCTTCATCCTCAAAATAGATTCTCAGTCTATTCAGTGTCCTATAGAAACTCCAAGAGCCAAGCAGTCTGAAAAGAGTAGAAGAACTGTTTGTTACTTGTTCCTCTAGTTCCTGTTTTGGATTGTTGAGTGTTAGATGTGCAGATATATTTTAAAAACACACGACTTTAATTGATAACATTAAAATGTTATTAAGTTTCAAAAGCCTTAATTGATAATATAAAAATGTTTATAAGCTTTAAAAGCTTTGAATGCTACATATTTTTGTTCCTTTTATGAGTTGTATTGCTTTTTGGAAGAAGATGTTGTCTGCTCTTGATTTTAAAAATTAACTGAGCAAGATTCATCAGAATCAGTTGTGATGTCCGTACTCTTGTTGTTTGTTTAGGAGTGGCCTATCAGTGGTGGAGCATGGAACCTTGGAGCTCAGACATATCCCGAAATCATTATTACAGGGTGAGAATCAAACTGAGGATTGGTACTTTTAAAATGTCGGTGTCTACAGCTTTTGATTGTGGGTTAGCTATAGATAAGAGTTGACCCTTCACAGAGTATGCATATCCTGGTCTCTTTGTTTGAGGTACCTAGTTTTTTCCCTTGTGCAGAGGCATCACAGAAATTCCCGTTTTCTGTAGAAAAGAGAACGTTGTACTTGGACATGAACTACCATTAAGAATTACCATTTGAGGCACCAGTGTTAGACAGCAAGTCTATACACTTGTGATGTTGGGCTCTTTGGAAAAGAGAATCCATTGCAAGATAATATTTTGGCCTTGAGGGGCGTAGAGAATAGCATTGAAAAGGGGAGCAGCTGTTCTTCTATAGCTGTTGTCCTTTGGCCTTCTGGAGACTTTGTATCTGGGGATGGTTTGGGAATTCATTTTCATACCCCAGCATCAGTGAGGGTGAAGTGCACTGACATGAATTTCCCAATGTGAGTGCAGAGACAGCCCCATAGCAAAAAGGCATAGAAAGGCTGATATGGCAGTAGAAGCCCCATGAGCAGTGCCTGGGGGATTTTCAAGGGGCCATGCCGTGAAACAGAAGCTATTCAGCTGTGATGCACTCTGTGTTGCCCTCTGCTCTCAGCCATGCTGAAGGCAGCAATATATTTGATAAACTGTTATTATCAATGATACTTAACACCTGTTTTGAAAAATAAGGTTATGATGTATGCAATAGTACCAATAAGGTGATGAAAGGTTTATTCTAATTTTAAACAGAAATATTTCCTTCCTCCAGCTTTACTTCAGGGATGATTTTATGTTACTAGAAAGAACACAGCTGTAGGGTATTAAGCAAAATGAAGTCACCCTCTGTCTTTTCAAAGTTTGTTATACATGGCATTTTTAGAGCGCACAGGCTTGACGCTGGCCCACTGTAAAGCCAAAGATGCTGAAACTGAAACTTGTCATTAGTGTGGGAGCTAATTTCTTGCTGTTGCAATCTAAAAATTCATTGGGAGCTTGGTTCTCTGTAGGAAGTGCATGAAAAGGGATTTTATTAACCTAATCAAACTAATAACAAAATATTTTCATATAGTTAGTATATATATCATTATATATTGTCAGTAAGGTCTGGAGAGTTACCACATGAGAAAAATGCAGTTTTCTGCTTATATTTGTCACAAACTGAAAGTAGATGATGTTTTAGAATTGCATCTTTTTTTAACACATTTAATTTATTTTTTTTTTAAGCCATGCAGATGGATCAGTAAAGTTTTGGGATGCTTCTGCCAGTAAGTTCATAAAGTTCACTTTTATATAATGCTGACAGATCACACTCACACACATATATAACATGATATTTGACAGTATGAGTTGTAATAACTGGGATGATATAATTAGGAATAATGAGGTGAAATTAAGTGAGTTTTTATTAATTTAGGGGAAAAAAAAAAAAACACGGCTAATGAGATACATTAGACAGAAAAGAGTGAAAGTCTGTAAGTGGAATAAAAATTCCAGGTCCAACATACCAAAACCTGTGAAAGATGAAGTGTTGGTAAAAAATCCCTAGGGCATAATCTTGCTGTGTGTATAAAAGAGTGGGCTCGATTCCATGTAATATTCAGTTCCAGTTGTCCTGTCTCTTCTATTCTGAGTACAATATAGACTTTTTTACAACTCAGTAAAAATAAATATTAAAATGAAATAATGCGTCTTAACACGTCTAGTCTGGTGAGGGTGGAGAAGACCTAAAAGTTTCCTTGTCCACACTCAAGTTCCAGGAAATAATGGAAGCATTTCCATTCATCCTAGCAGGAAAAATCTTCAGAAAATACTTGTTCCATACTTTCTAGCTATAACTACACATAGCAAACCCCAGCTTTCTCCCCTACAGAAAATACATACGTTACTTATTAGTAAAATATGTTTATTGAAAATATACATGCATTTTGGTTGAAAGCTAAAATATTCTGGTTCAAATATTCTGTGTTTCACAAAAGTTGCAGCAGAGTTGCCTTGCATTCTGTCTTCTGTGGTCCAGGGAAGTCTGGGAAGAATACCTCTTTTATGAGGTATCAGTCTCTTAAAGAGAAGAGAGTGTGAAAGAAACTTCTGCATAAAATGTTAGGCATAGCGAGATTTAATTTAACCCTAATAACCCGTCTGTAAAGGTAACCAAGAACACAGAGTATGAGATACTTAAACTACCCACTACTTCTGCATTGTGCAGCAGAATTGTAATGGTTCATACTGCTACCATTTCCAGACAAATACAGGGAATGTTTACAAGATTTTAAAGTCAGCTAAACCTGATGACTTTGTCGGGTAGTTCTCTTTTTTGCCTAATACCAAGTATTTTCACTCATCGGGATGGACAAGGAGAAAATCAGGATTTCCAAAGCTTGATTTCACACAGGAATTTTACATAGGCATGTCAGGTGAACATGACTAGGAGTTGTTTTTTTTATTGTATAACTTTTCTATTTGGAAATGGAGGAAAAACAGATACATGCTGCTTAGAGTTTATATCTTCCAGCATTTCCAAGTTATGGTGACACCAAAAAAAAAAAAAAAAATTCTGATGAGGTCAAAAGGAGTTTATCTGCAAAGACAAAAGTCTGAGAGAGCTTTAATATGAACAAAGATAGGATAATGACTTTTATTTAGAGAAGCAGTGTGAGGCATTAGACCTTGTCTTGTGCATATTTCATTACATATTTATGCTCTTGAAAAGAATGTGCAAATACAGACATTAGAGTGAAACAGTACAACCTGTTGCAAGACCCCAAAGCATTTAGCATATATATTGCACAGGAATCAGTGTGCTAGTCATTTCTTCTATAATCTTGGCAGGAATGAGGATAGCAAAAACTTTTCATAGGGAATATAAACATAAAACACTAATCAGTACATACATGCTGCAACAGGATTCTTTCTTAAGCTGTAAAAGCTTAGATCATAGAGTCATAGAATGGTTTGGGTTGGAAGGGACCTCAAAGATCATCAAGCTCCAACCCCCCCTGCCATGGGCAGGGACACCCTCCACTAGACCAGGTTGCTCAAAGCCTCATCCAGCCTGGCCTTCTTCTCCTCTGGGCCTTCATAAGATTCTTTGTTATGTCACAACTGAAAAGAAAATGGGAACTGATGAGTTTTATAAGTTATTTGCTTAATGTTAGTATTTTTAATATGTCTTAATATATTCCAGTTACTCTACAGATGTTGTACAAATTAAAAACATCCAAGGTCTTTGAAAAACAGAAACTGGGAGAAGGGAAAGCAACAGCTGAGATTGTGGAAGAAGATCCTTTTGCTGTTCAGATGATGTACTGGTGTCCTGAAAGCCGGATTTTCTGTGTGGCAGGAGTTTCTGCATATGTTGTTGTTTACAGGTTCAGCAAACATGAAGTAAATACTGAAATTGCAGTAAGTCCTTCAGAATTTTACTCCCTTATAAAAGAACATAATTTCTCAATCGAATTGCCTTGCTGTGTCTGTGCTCATATACTTGAATAAAATTACTATCAAGCTGTATAAATGTAGGTTTAGGGACATTCCATTTTAAACCTTTCGAGTAAAATCTTGATCCTACTTAAGTTAGTGACAAAAATATAACAGAGTTTTGGTTGAAAACTCTCCACTTTTTTGCTTTAATAGTAGCATATGGTGTAGATTTCTGACATAGTTTGCTTGTAAGACTTTATGGTACGTTAAATCTCTGTTGTACCTGCCTGCTGTAAAAATATTGGCTGCTGTATGTCTTTATCAGATAATGTACATTGTGTACATACATAATAATACTCTTTTTAACTCAGATATTTAATCTCTTTAATTTATGTTCGTAGTGTTCATACAAGGGGACTGAAAATTATCACTGGCTTTAACAAGATTGAAAGAGTTGATTTTTTTTCTGGCTTATGCTGACTTTGTTTCCCTAAAAATGGACATATATAAAATGCAAGATTATTTAGGGCTAAGCACTTGATATTTTCCTAAGCTTTTTGTTGCTTTATTCTGTTCAAATACTTCTTTTTTCTATCTTCATGTCTTAAGCAGTCACCTTATTTCAGGTAGAATCATACAGTTCATGTTCTTTTTTAACTGCACTGCAGTCACCTTGTACTTATAATTGTGCAGCAAGGCTGACTTTGGTTTAAAACTTGCATTTTTGCACAGGAGCCACAACCACTGCTTATACTGTAAAACATTCTTTCTTAAGTCTAAGAAGTTTAACAAGAGTCTACTCTTAAGACAAACCAAACTAAACGTAACTGCCTCTCCTTCAGGCTTGCCATTCTCTGGTACTGGAGAACAGTTTGCAGCTCCAGACACTCTCTTGCCAGAAAGTATTTCTTTGCATCTGTCCACTCTCAACAAACCCCAGGGGCTGACCCAATTTTCCCTTTCATTTTCCACCTTCCCCAATTACTTTTTTTTTCCTTTTCACACTATTTTACTGTACTTTAGAAAGTGTATGGTTCTAGCCTGGAAAAAAAATGTGTCATTTTTGGCTTGTAGCCATGTGCCATCTGGTAAGGAAATTCATTACCTATAGCTGTTCTGTTGTTTTCCTCTCATTTTTTTTTTCCCCCAGAGGCAATTATTAAGCTAGCTGAATGTATTCTTTCAGGAAAGTTTTGAAACTAATGATCGGTAATTTCACCTTACTGACCAGCTTGTGTATAATGCTCCTAAAATTACTACATTTCAGTATTCTTACATTGTTCCATAGCAAATGCACCTCATCTTTTATTACCTATCGTTTAATGTCTTTATTTTCATGTCTTTTCCTTTTGTGGCTGAATTGCATCAGAACTGGTATTTTCTAAAGTGTTATAATGTGTGCAATTTAACAGTTTCTCAGATGTCATATGTAATTAAGAAGCATTTTTATGAGGAATCATTCTCTGAAGAGTTGCTTTAATATTATCTTATCTTGGTGGCATAGTCACTGAGTTCCCCTGGGTTTTGTGCATCCCTGAGATGGCCATCATCTCTTGGTTTCCATGTGTGTGCTGCAAGCATTCAAGTCTTCACTCTTAAATGGTTGGTGTTTAATTAAAAGTATGGGAGTCTTTGTCGGAGTATGTACCTGACTTTAGGCTGTCTGGCTTTGTCTATACTGAGACTGAGGTGGTCAGTCTCAAGGTTTCTTTGCTGCCTGAGCTGAGCCCAAGTTCTAGCACTTAGTATTCTTCTTTCTCTAGCAGCCAGCCAGAACTCACCCTGACTTCAATCTGCAAATCCCAGCATTTTAAGGACCCCATGTTGGTTTGACTGCCTGACATCAGTCTTGCAATGTTATTGCTGTGGTAAATGCAAAGCATGGAGGCCACTCAAAGGTTTCTCTGTGTAGCAGGGAAGTCTGCTGCTGAATATGCCTTGGAGGCACAGACTGTGCCTGGGATTTCCTCGACAGAAGTACTATTTGCATCATTCCTACTATGACAATTCCATATCAGATTCTGGAAGGAAGTAGTATGCATGAGACAAATTCTGCTTCATATCCAACCTTGGAGTCATTGCCATGTAGTTATGTAAAAATAATTTGCTGTTGTAGTTGTTATTTTCACATCTGAATCTACTCCATCCAGTCTCAAAAGGATATCTAGGTATCTATTAAATATGATCACTTTCTCAGTGATCAGTCTTTCCTCAGTGAAGCTCCTCTTCAAAGCTCTTGAAAAGACCCATAGAAAAAAGTTGACACTAGTCTGAATGTAGAAAGGAGAATCAATGAACATAATGATGGGATCCTCAAAAAGATCTTTACTGTGTGTCAAAACAAATTGGTACAGCAGGTCTGTACCACTTCCAAGGTCCAGTCAAAGCAGGAACCAAGACATAAAAAAAAATTCACAGTTATGTTATTAGCCTAAATTTTTCCTTCTCTCTGCAAATGGACAATAGCTAGGACTTAACAAAATGAATTTTAGTAGAAAAAGGAAGACAGGAAGAAAAACATCCCAAGAAGAATGGTGCACTTCTAGCATGACAAGCAGAAGAACGTACTCTTCAATAGTTACTTCAGTCCGGCATGAAGATTAAACAGCGTTATAAATAGTTTTGGTCAGCAGCAATTAATTCCAGTAGATTAGATTTTCCTGAATTCAATATTTCACTCATTGGTCTTTGAAGGCAAATGTTGTCCATAGGTATCTTTAGCTGATTCATGAAAAAAATATCCATGAATTTTGCAAAGGTAAAATAAAAGTGAAATTTTGAGAAAGGACCCTTTCTCTTCTGGTTGAGCAGAATTACTTCTTTCTGAAATCTTATGTGTTCTAACACAATGTCTGAGAAATAGGAGAGCCTTCAATCCTGATCTCTAACTCCCGATTCTCATAAGACTTAGATATTTTCTTAATACTCTCATCTTCATTCTGGTACAGATGGTGTCTCAGTGAGAGATCACTCACCAAGATGGAGTTAGTGTCTACATCTGCAATTGCTTCTGGTCACTTCAAGGTACCGGCACCGAAATTACTATTCAGCTGGTATCCCAAGACACTATCTCTTTGAGGGCTGTACCTTGGTTTTTATTCTTTTCAAAATAGGGATCTCCTTGGACAATTCATGAAGTAGAAAGAATTGCCCAATATTTCCTATGATTCTTTGAGATGATTACTTATCTAGATTTGAGCTCCCTGTCCATTTTCTCCTGTGTTTTGGAGTCCTTCAGTTAAGATTTCCTGAATGAGTGGAAAGAATTGAAGGGTGGTTGGGGCTAGCTGTTCTCCTTTTCCTTATCTACAGAGCCCAGAGGGAAAGAAAAAGGTAACTGCTTTGAACTTTGCTTTCTAGAGTCTGCTAAATTCATGTTCAGTCTAAGGAATACATAGCTCTCTGTGCTGTTATCTCTGATTTCCTGACTCCCACCTGTGGACAAATGAAGGTTGTTCATCAGTACTACCCACACTGTCAGGCTTCTGTGTACTGGCTAAAACCTGTCTTGTAAAGACTCTGTTATACTGGCAGCCAGGAAGCAGAGTTGGTGATCATTCTTCTAATGAATTTGCTCAGGAAAAAGATAACAGATAATAGGCAGAAAATTTTCATGACATTTTTACTGAATTATGCCCTCTTATGCCAAAATATTATCTATTTGGGAGTGAGTGATTACCTTCTCTTTTCATAATAAATTCTGGAAAGCTATATTCTTGCCTTTCACTTACAATAAAAGGCTTGGATCAAAGTCAGCACTGGAAGAATATACCTATGTATTTCTCCATCAGCATAGGGTAGACGACTAGTTCCTATTTTATATTGCTATTAGGCTCTATAAATAACAAAGGACAGTATACTTTGCCTGCAAATGATAATTATAAATTTGGGGCGTTGTTTTTTAAAAAAGGCTTACCGATATTTATTTGAAATTAACGGATTTTTCATCTGTTTTCTTTATTAAATTATAACTTAGTTTTTTATTTATTTAAGTCATTAGAGGTACGACTTCAGTATGAAGTAGAAGATATCATTACTCCTGAACCAGAAATAATTCCTCCATTTCCAGATGCCTCCTCCCAGCTTCCTTCTTTAAAGAGCCTTTCAGGCAGTACCAACACTGTAGCATGTGAAGGAACAATGAAGGATAGTATTCCATGTCTTAGGTAAGTTTCTGCCATTGTTCAAAGATTATCTTTCTAAAAAGCATTCCTATCTGTTGTATTAACAACCAGCTAATTAAAAAGAAAATGAGGTTAGTCATATGTATGCAACACAAAAAGAGAAGAAACCAGAATGTGGAACAAACAAAAGAATTATGGCAAAATAATTAACAAGGTATTTTAAAAGGATATAAATAAGTATGGAGAAGATAAACTGTTATAGTAAAGGTTTGACTATAATTTTCCAGTATGATCTAGGAGTAAATCTTCATCTCATACCCACAATTTTGAGCATCATAGAATAAATTAAGGAATTTCTGAGGAACCTTTTTGGTTTTGAGTTCACAAAGAGACTCCCATAAAGCAGATACGTGCAAAGCTTTCCCTCCTTGATTGATTAGTATAACACTAAAATCTTTCTTTGTGAAAGAAGTATATGCATTTTATGGTGTATAAGGGACGGACACTGTGTTCGTACTCATAAAACAATCTTTAAAATATACAATAAAGAAACAGTTGCACTGTGTGGAAGTGTATTTATGTATTATCCTTAGAAAGAAGCAAAGTGTTGTCTGCTAGAGTACACGTTGCCACTGTTTGGAGTAGATTAATGTGTTCTTAGTAATGAGGCAGATAAATTACGGTTTTGAATAGTTTCAAAACAGAATTCCATACAAAACTCCATAAACTGTAATTTCCCAGCAATTATAGTGCCTTGCTGATAATAATTACTCTAATTTTTGTGAATTCATTATTATTTCAGTCTAATTATTATTATATATTTTAAATGTCTCAATTATTTAAAAAGCAGTTTAAATTAATATTGCCTGACTTTGCAGATACTTAGGGCTGTTGAGCTCCTGACAATAGCATTAGCATTTAAAATTAATTAATTTAATTAAAATTGATTAATTAAAATGGGTTAATTTCTTGTGAAATTAACAGTATTTTTTTGGCACTCTGTTCATTTGTCCGCCTCACTCGGTCAGGCAGTTGAACTTCATACCTCAGCTCATCATTAATCTAAACCATGAAAATCCATAGCAGAGGCAGAGAGAAGTTACTTAACAATTTCAATGTGAAATCTATTCGTACCATTGAAATCAGCAAGAATGCAATCAATTATTTTGGTGGCTAGGATTTTCCCTTAAGGAATTCTTACTTGATCTGGTTGGGGGAGGAGAGGAATTGTTGACCTTGGAGGCAGGAAAGCTGTAATGAACCAGAAGAGGTTCTGCTGGTTAGTTTTTGGAGTTTGCTTAACTCCACTGAATCTCACGTTAAGCTGGCCAACTGATTTTTGACTCATTTTACACAAAGTAAATGTAAACTTATTTTGATAAAGAAGTGATTTTTCAAAATCAAAGTGATCATACATAGAACTGCTAGCATACACCCTCTTACATTTATATAAAAATGTACTGTGTACACTCTCATCTTTTTCGATAGGGAAAGGCACATAAACATCCACACTTTTCCCCCAAACCTTAACTGGGTCCACATTCCTTTTCTGTCAAGCAGAATTATGATGATAGGATTAAAGTAGAGCTGGAAACAGAAAACCTAGTAGAGACCTGGATCACAGAATCACAGAATGTTAGAG